CTGTAACAGAAGACGAAGAGGAATCATTCACCCCCCAAAATAATCATTTGTTTATCAGTTGCTCACCCTGTGTTACAATGAATCCATGAGGAAAGCTTTTTTTCTTGCCTGCCTCCTCGCTGAACGAAGAATCCAAAAATGGAGCAAATTCATGATGAATACAGCAAAACTGTGTCAAAACATCCATTTACAAAGTCTCACACAACTCATGCAGTATAATCCAAGTCTCATTTGTGCAGTCATATGCTCAGCACCACTGAACAAACAGCCCTTTCCGATGGGGAGGTGAACTAAAAGTGAAATTTATCTATGCTCTCTTCAAAGCCAGACTCCACTGACAAAAACTTTGATTTTACCTCTCTGAAAATGGGAAGTGCTGGTCTACCACTGCCTTGACCAGTTAGTTTGTTTGACTTAATGTGTGACTTTGGTGAATCGGAACGAATTCACAGAAACTACAAAGTCACGCAATTACAGAAACAAACTAACTGAGGCAGGGGTACACCAGCAGGTCCTGTTTTCAGGGAAGTAAAATTACTGGTTTTGTCAATGGAGTCTGGCTTTGAGGAGAGCAAAGATAGCTTTCACTTTGTGTTCAGTTTCCCGTCAGAAATGGCTGCCTGTTTGGGAAGTATTGAGCATACAACGGGATAAATGACACTTGGATTATACTGCAAGAGCCGTGTGAGAGTTTGCTGTTATTAAACATGGTCGCCTATAACTTCAATTCAAAAAGAATTTTCTCAGTTTTTGGATTCTTCATTCACCGTGGAGGCAAGAAAAAGTTTTTCTCACAAATTCAGCATAACATGGGGGGAGTAACTAATTTACAAATGGTCATTTGGAAATTGAGGTATTCCTTTAAATGATTAACTTATTGATTATTTGAATATTTCAGTCCACTGATTTTTGGCTCGAGCCTCAATACAGCAGGATGTTTGCGAGAGTCCTTCAGACTGAAGTGCTGAGCCGAGAGGCATCCAGAGAAAACACTGAGTTGTTTAATCATGTTTGAACATTGAGTCTCTGTGTAGTTTGTCACACGGCGATGTTAAAAACCCACAGGGGAACATTCTCGCTGTATTACTGTATCTCTCTCTGTGTCCTCATTCCTCTCCTGCCTGTATTTACCTGTCTCTTTTATTACCTCTCCCTCCCCCCTGCCAACGCTTTAACTTTCATCTGCCCTTCTCTCTTTAAACATTATTCTTTGTTCTTTTTAAACAGTTTTGGAGCACATCACAAAGAAATTGGGGATAATGGCCGGTAGTGGTTAAAAGTTAAGAGAAAAGGCTGATTGTGAGGAATCAAGGTCACAGGGCAAAGTCACACCTCAATATTATAAGTCAGTCACTTTCACACACGTACACAATGAATGCTAAACAATGGACAATGGACCGTGCAGTCTGAGATCTTTACTGTGCCCTCGCACAAAATAAAAACAGATATCAAGACTTAAAACCACATGTTTAGAAGTTTATTGTGACTTTGAGAACACATGTACAGTACAAAATTCATCCTGACATCACACACATCAGGCTGTTTGAGATGAGGGAGAAACACATAGGGAGAAATAATGAGAATGTGAATGAGAGCCAGCAATGTAAAGAAAACAACCCTTGCTTTCTTGCTTTCATGCCATGATTTTGCACATAAATCGGGGGATCCTAAACCCACATTTAATATTGGTATCATGATAATTATGGATCATCAATTCATAGATCGTGCAGCAAACCTGGTGTGTGACCAGACAGGTCATTGATCAATAATCTGCTATTTATGCTATTTTGAGTACAGTACTGTTGTTTTAACAGCTTTATTTAATAGTAGGTGATGTAAAGGGCAGTAAAATAGATTTTAAAGGGACAGTTCACCCCCAAATCAAAAATACACATTTGTCCTCTTACCTGTAGTGCTATTTATCAGTCTAGATTGTTTTGGTGTTATCTGCCGAGTGCTGGAGATAAAGGAAGTAGAGATGTCTGCCTTCTGTCTAATATAATGGAACTAGATGGCACTCAGCTTGTTGTGCTCAAAGCACTCAAATAATTCATTTGAAAAACTCAACAGCAATGTCTCTTTCCAGAAATCATGACCCGGTTACTCAAGATAATCCACAGACCTTATTGTGAGCAGTTTCATGAGGGAACGATTTTCTTTCTACAGAGCTGCATCTACCAACCGTATCACCGCACATTAGGAAGCGTTCATCTACTCATGGACAAGAGGCTTGTGACGCAGCATGATGCAAACATTAATGGCGTCCTCCTCGGCTAAGATGTAACGTTAGCTAGCTCAGTGGTGCTAGGTGAGCTAGCCTTAGATCCACCCTTGCTTCTGCATGATGATATGGTTGGCGGTTGTAGTTCAGCAGAAAGAAAATAGTTCCTACACGAAACTGCTCACAGCAAGGTCTGTGGATTCAGGCTGTTCTCATGCAATGTTTGTACATATACCTACAAAACGTAATGCATCACATTATGTATGTAACCCACATAATCATGAGCCAGTAATTTGTGCATAACTCATGTAATGTGGGAAGGCTGCAATCACGTGACCAGTGCACTCATGGGAGAAAAGTAATAAAATAAAGAGTAAAACTCAGTGTAAGGAGGCAGGTTTGGGTGGTGGATGGGACAACCAACACAGGACTTCCCTCCAGGACACTGGTGTTAGGGAGTTATTTTAAGGTACTTCATCATCACGTTTCTTTTCCTAAACCTAACCTACATAACCTTATTTTACGTATGTTATGTTACATAAAGTACGTAACGTCACTATGCCATCCGTAGGGCGTTAATCTCTTAAATATCATATGAACTGTTGTATGAGGATATGTTTGTGCATTACCTTGAGTAATCAGGTCATGATTTCTGGAAAGAGTCATCTTGTGTTGCTGTTGAGTCTTTCACATGTATTATTTTGGCACTTTGAGATCCACAAGCCGAGTGCCACCTGATTCCATTATATTCCAGAGATGGCAGAGATCTCTACAGCTGATATCTCCAACACTTCGCAACTTACAAACAATGTAGATCAATAAATAGCACTTCAGGTAAGAGGAAAAATATGTATTTTTGATTTTTGGGCAGATTGTCCCTTTAAGTGAAGTGGAGATGAGCTGACCCTGTGCAAGACATGAGGTAATGTCTAATGTCAACCGTGCTTGATTGTCTTGCTGAAGAAACATAGGTCAAATATCCCACACACCAGTAATGCTGCACTATGTATCGTGAGTTATTACAGTTACAGATTCATATTTACAGAATCATACAGATGGGTACTTTACCCCTGTGCCCTCACCACATTAGTGTCAATTCAGTTTCAGACATCACAATACGGAAATGAAAAAGATTGGTGAAATATTTTCAGCAAATCAGTAATAGCTGTTAGTCACATAACCTGTTCAAATCCAACAAATCCTTGTTTCATAACTAAATATGTTACTAAACAACACCATTAAAAAATTAAATACTTTTTAGAAATCATAGACATTAGACATAATGAGGAAATACTAAATGCTTATTTAAGATTGATGACACCATAAAATGCCTCGACTACAAGCCATTACTCACTTTGACATTTATTACAAGTGAAGCACTTTCTAGTTATTGCCATATTATTAATTTGTGTAGTCTGTACACATCACCAGAATTACAAACTCTTACGTCTAATATTAAACCCTCTCATGGCTATTTGAATTTATTTACATTTGCACATTTTTATTCGCTTGTCTATTTTAATATGTAATCTTTATTCTCAAGTATTTGGCACAGTACGGGAACAGTGAGAACGATTACCAGTGAATCATGCAGAGTGACAGTAAACTGTAAAATCTTCCGTCTTTAACTAGGACAGGACATTTAACACAATTTATAAAGTTACAGACATTATGAATTTCTAACCAAGCTACTGTAATTGATATTACAAATTGTCTGAATTCCCACAGAGCATTAATCCATCGATTCATTTTCATCTGCTTATCCGGGGCCAGGTCGTGGGGGCTGCAGGTCGAGCAAAGCACCCCAGACATCCCTCTCCCCAGCAACACTTTACAGCTCCTCCTGGGAGACCCCAAGGCGTTCCCAGGCCAGATGAGATATGTAACCCCTCCAGCGTGTTCAGGGTCTGCCCCAGGGCCTCCTACCAGTGGGAGGCGCCCAGGAGGCATCCAGATCAGATGCCTAAACCACCTCAACTGACCCCTTTCAATGCGAAGGAGGAGCAGCTGTACTCCGAGCTCCCTCCTGATGTCCAAGCTCCTTACCCTATCTCTAAGTCTGAGCCCAGCTGCTTGTAGCCACAATCTCATCCTATCGGTCATTACCCAGAGCTCATCACCATAGGTGAGGGTAAATAGTATTAAATTGATTTTAAATTAAAGGAGCGGTGTGTAGGATTTAGTGGCATCTAGTGGTGAGGTTTGCAGGTTGCAACCAGGTGAAACTTCTCCCATGTGCCAAGCATAAACTCTTGGTTAGGATTCCTTTAGGTTTCATTGTTCACAAGGTTTTTAACAGGAGCCAAATTATCTGCAGAGGTCTCTTTCTCTCCAAAACAAACACTGTGTTAAAAAGTGATTTAATAAACTGAGTAAAGCAGTTTCATGTTACAAATTAGTGTGTCTCTGACGCTAGTTGGCTCGTCACAGATGGGCTGCTAGGTCAGCACCTGCTTATGCTAATTTTCTCTGATAACTTAAGATCCAGACGTTTTTACCAGGAGCGAAATTTTCCGCAGAAAATCTGTGTTTATTGGACACTCTTAAGCTCATTACAGAGCGCCTGCTAAGTATGTTACTGGCCCTATCTAGAGCCAGTGTTTGGTTGTCCGTTCTGGGCTACTGTAGAAACATGGCGCTGTAACATTGCAGATTTTGTGGACGAGGACCCGCTCCCTTTATAGATATAAATGGCTCATTTTAAGGTAACAGAAGTATTCTTATTTTTAGGTGATTATACACTAAAGAAAGCATATTTATTATATTTTATTCCATTTCTGCCTACATATCCCTCTAAATCCTACACACTGAACCTTTAACAAATATTCCCCCAGTCTAGTCCAGTCCAGTCCAGATGACCCTCTTAAACCTCTCATACAGTATTCTATCAGGACAAAATCACAGCAGAACACAAGTAAGGAAGCATAATCCATTGAAAAACATTTAGCATTACATTCATCCTTACAGAGCTAAATGTAACAGTTTATCATAATATACATTTCTTGTCTAATCCAAACTTTTACCCAAAGTCATAGGCCTCCCCAACTACATTTATAGAAATTAAACTTAATTTTTTGGTGAACCGTTAGAATTGGTTAAACTAAAAGCTTTAGCTAAACTAAGACATTGGGGGTTGTGATTTTAGTTTCTCTCTGTTGCCATAGTAACACCACAATGTTTGATCTCTGGTTGGTCTGAATGCCATCAGCAAACACGATGTCCCGCTGACGGGCAGATTGCACGGACCTGAGACACACAAACACACACACACACACACACACACACACACACAGACACACACACACACACACACACGCACACACACACACACACACACACACACACACACACGGGCTGAGTTTGCAGTCTGGATGGACACCCGCTCTTTATCTCTCACCAGCCGACTGTCAAAACCAACAAAGGCGGGAAGATCTTAAAATGTATTAGCCGCCATCCTTCCCTCTCACACCTTTCCCGCCATACTGCTCATTCAACCCTCTCATCTGGTCTAACTATCATCATCATACTACTTTTCATTCTTGCTGGTTTGACAGAAGCACGGGCACACATTTGGGACTACCTGCCCAAATCTGCTGCGATGATCTGAAGTGTTTTATACTTCAGCACTCTTGCCATAGGGTAACAAGTGGAATACAATTTTTATCATCACAATACCCAGACAAACAGAAAAGGTTGGAGAACAATGCAGCTAAATCAGCAATAAATGAGCACTCAGTGAAGTGAACAAAAAAGGTAACACAGAGAATCTTTACCACAATGTCCAAGAGCTTTGGACGTTGAAGTTCATATATTCAGGCGGGCAGGCATGTCTTCTTGCAGTTTTCCTACATGGTTATAATCCTTGATATGAGTCCAGACACAGCCCCTCCACATGTCCAGCTAGATGTCAGAGCTTTAAAAATATTGGGTAGGTATAACACAGATGGGTAAAATTCCTAAAAATCAATCTACCATCCTGTTTCACACAGGTGTCACTGTGTTAAGGCCCAGACACACCAAACTGACACCAAAGAACTAGTGGCAGTGAAGATCGACTGTTGTTTCGTCTTAAGTCGCCTGTGTCTCGTCTAAAATACACTGCAAAAACTATAGCCATCAGCAAACTAGCACGTACGTTCTCTGTGTGAAACCATTTCTGCTAAAGAGCTCAATGGCTTAACAAATATCTTACCTAATAACAAGTTTGTTACGATCTCACGCCCTTTTGACTTTAGCCGTTTGTTTACTTTCCTCACTTCTGTTTCTCCTCTTGTGCACTGAACTGAACTGCGTATCAGAGTGATTTCATTCACTGACGGGCTTTGCCGTATCCAATGCCAATTCAACATGCTGAATCTACTGAAAAGAAGCTGACCAGGTCCGACTACTACAACGCCAAAACTAGGGCGACAGACGCTCCCCTATTGCTCAACATTGACCAATGGCCAACTGTCAGCTTGATGTGTCAGGTCTTATTGTTAAACATAATCACATGGGTGAGGTTTTGCTCTTCAAATAAGGGCTGTGGCACATCTGTTCATACCTATCCAAAATCTTCAATCATGCAGTAGTTTCTAGCGAGATAAGGGGCTGTGCTTTCCTCTCAAATTCATAAGAATCTTCCCGTCCCTCCAAAATGTCTCTGCCCTCTGTCAGTGTCCCTCTGTCCTCACCTGTCACTCTTACACTTTCTGCTGCATCTCTATCTGTTGGCCCTGTCTGGTCTGGCTTTGACCCTTCCCATTCATCTCATACACTGAGCTCTTTTGCTGTTGTCTTCGGTAGCACCATACCCCGACGATGACTGCCGCAGCGACCACACACACCGCCGCTATTATGGCTGCCACCGTGGGACCTCTGCTCGAGGAGCTCGGAGGAGGGCAGTTCTCACCTGTGCAGATTGCCTCTCCCATCTCTCCCTCTATCTCGTCCCTCTCGCCGGCCTCACCAGGCAGGTTGCGTATAGTGTGCTCTTCCATCATTCCATCTTTGTCGATGTGGTTCGGTGGAACTGGGCCATGGTCGGGGAAGGGGTGCTGAGTGAGGTGCCAGGAGTGGGTGGGAGCCACCTGTTGTGTGTCGTAATCCAGGGTGTCGGAGTATGAGGGGGAGTCTGATGGCTGTGAGGGAGCAGCGGTGGGGATGAACACAGGGTGCACCACCCCTTGATCTAAGGCAGGGTCCGTGGTGGGAGATTTGGGTGCATCTGGTGAGCTGGTGTGAGGGATGGGTCTACGAATTTCCACCTCATTGGGTTTCTCTGTCGTCCCTTCTGTTGTGGAGTCACCATTTTCTGTCTCCTCAGGAACAACAGGGTAGCCATCCAGCCAGGTGTCATCTGTGGTGGCCTCTCCCTCTGCTTCCTTCTGAGTGATGTTATGACCTCTATCTGTTACTATAGAAAAGATTACACGCTGTTGACCGTCATCTTCATGGCTATCATGATCATCGTAGCTGTCATGGTCATCGTGTTCATGATCATCTTGATCAGTGTAACGATCGTTATCATCCTCCTCTTGGCTGTAATGTTCCTCAGGATCATCATGGTCATCATTGTCGGGATGTTCCTCAGAGCCATCAGGACGTTCTTGACCATTGTCATCACGATCGTTGGTCACATCGTCATGTTCTTCATAGCTTTCATGTTCATCATAAGTGTCGTCATACTCCTGGCTGGTATAACGAACACGATCGCGATCCTCCTCATGTTCCCCCATGTCATAATGGTCATCGTGATCATCATGACTCTCATGGTGGTCCCGTCTGTCCAGGTCATCATGCTGAGCTGGAATGTAATGCTTCACATGATCATCACGATCATCTTCATCCTGGCGGCTCTCATCTTGATCATCGTGGTGGCTGTCGTCATGGGCATCCAGGTCATCATGCTTGCTGTCATCATGATCGTCTCGGTCATCTGTGTCACGATCATCATAGCTGTCTTGCACATGGTGGTCAACATCAACTGGACGCTGGTGGTGGTGCGTTTCTTGGCTGTCGTGCTCTTTACTCTCCTCTGATTGGGCACCTGAGGCTCTCTGTGTAGTCTGTGTAAGTGGATTGTTTGAGACAGGACGCCCCTCGTCTTGGAAGGCCTCAGAGGGGAACCAGAAGAGGTGTTTCTGGGATAGAATAGAGACGGGTGCTTCTGTGGCTGCGGCTGCATCAGTCCTGACCTCCTCCCACCTCTCCTGCTCCCATCTCAGATGTCCTATGAAGTCCTCAATAGCACGGTCTTTTTCTCCTCCTTCTGCAGCTCCTTCAGATTTTATACTGATCACTTCTCCTTCCACTCCATGTTGGTCTTGATGCTCCTCCTCTGCTGGAACACTGAAGCTAGTCTCCTTCTGCTCCTGACCCCTTTCCCCCTCCGGGTATACAGCTCCATGCACCTCCTCGTGCACCTCACCATGAGCCTCCTGCGGTCTCTCTTTGTGGTGTTCTGCCTGTCCGTAAGAGTCTGGGAACTTGTCCTCGTAGTCTACGTGAGTGTCAGTCTCATCTGCAGAAACACAAAAAGGACACATTTACTCAATCAGGTGACTAAGCTTCATCAAACCTTAACATTCATGTTGACGCAACTCAACTCAAAAAATAATCATTTCTTTTCATAATACATCGCCTGCAACCCTTGAGGCGACCAAGTGCGTCCTCAACATGGATGCATACACGGCTCAAGCAGGCTTTGTGGGCTCCCCTTTGTCCCTGACTCTGTTATGCTGAGCCCTGACATCATATCCAGGGGATACTGTCAGTAAATCAGAGTAAAATACAGTCTTGGCTTATCCTGTGTGAATGTTCCACAGGAGACACAGATGGGAGGGGGGGTTATTTTCTAAATCACATGACATCCCTTGGTGATACTGGTCCTGGGTGAACAGGGCTAAAGACAACTTGAGATTCTGACAATGTGGAAGTAATTTAGAGCAGTGATTCACAAACTCTTTGGATTATGACCCCTTAAAGAAATAGACTGGCGTGAATATGAAGCTAGCAGGCAGTTAGCTTAGCTTAGCTTAGCTTAGCATAAAGACTGGAAACGGGGTCCTAAGGTAAAAAAAAAAAAAAATCTGCCTATTAGCATCTCTAAAGCTCATAATTGGCTGGCCAGGAGCAATGACTTTCTGAAGTCAAGTTGTCACCCTGAAGATGCCAGCAGAGACATCAGAAGGTCACTTATCCTGGCAGAAAATCAAACCATTGTAGTTATAATGTGTAAATTAGTGAGCTTAAGAGGTGCGGTAGGCAGTTTTCATTACCTTTGGACAGGGACAAGTAAGCTGTTTCCCCATTTCCAGTCTTTATGCTAAGCTAGCTGCCGGCTCCAAGATAGGGTAACTAGACATCCATGTTTTCTGGGGACAGTCCCCGTTTTTGTTGGCCTGTCTTCGACTGGAGCTGGACTTCCGCTGGACTGTCCCTGGTTTTAATTTACAAAATCTGGTCACCTCACAGTAAGAGTAGCATTAATCTAATAATATAACGTGGAGTTACTGTATTTTGGACATCACAGTATTCCAGTCACTTGACCTTTGGATGTAATTCATTTGAATTAATATTTCCAAGTCACTTTGAAAGAGGGCAGTGTAGAAATGGGAACTGCCCATTGGTTCGACAGCCCATTGGTTCGACAGCCCATTGGTTCGACATCCCATTGTTCCGCCCATATTAAACTCATTGTTCCGAAGTCCGTTCCGAAATCATCATGATGCCCTGTGGTTAAGGTCTGGTTAGGTTTAGGCACAAAAAACACTTGGTTAGGGTCAGGAAAAGATCATGGTGTGGGTTAAAATGAAAAAGAAAGTGACAAACACATAAGCAGTGAGCCTGCTCCGCCTCAAGCCGGTCACAGCACACCATACGCCCGCCGTGAGCCGACAGTCGGACTAATGGGATGTCGAACCAATGGGCTGTCAAACCAATGACATGGACCCGTAGAAATAGGGGATCCCAAAGGTCCCAAGGCTGGAATCAAACCCAAGACGTTGCAATTATATGGCGTGTGTTGTAACCACACAGCTACCCATGTTCTGCACAATGACTCTGTTAGCTAACCATGCAGACAGGCCTGCCATTCTGCTTTCATAGACACCTTTTGTCCCTTCTCCCTCTGCTATGATCTGGGCCACACTATGGCATGTCACACTGATGTGTCATAGCATCCACTTTCAACTCACAACTGAGACTCTGTTTTCCAAAAAGCCAAAAATCAAGCACTGATCACCTGACAACACTGGGAGCTAACAAGTAAGAAGTGAAGAGGTTGACCTTTAGAGAGGTCTTGTGTCTGTCTCGGTTAAAGCTCAAAGCTTGAAGAGCACAAACAAAAAGAGGACTTTCTCTCCACTTCCTTCCAGTTTTGTCTCCAAGATAAACAGTTTAAACACCTTCTTACCTTTGACACACAGCTCCACCAGTCCATACCACTCCCCACAGCTGTCGCACAGCAGGCTGAAGGCACTGTGTCGACTGGGCATTACGTAACCTGGCGCACATGTGTACAGCAGCTCATCTCCCATCTCATACCCACTGTGCTCCTGCAGACGTGTGTTAGGAAAGGATGGTGGGTCACCACATGGTACACCTGTCAACAACAAACACAGAGATACTTGTAGTCCAGATAACATCAGCATCATCCCAGGTCATCAAATATCCACGCATTGGGTTGGTGGTTCGGTCCGACTATCAACCCAAAGCATCTGTATTTTATAACGTGGGAAAGGACTCAACTATCTTACTCCAGAGTTACATACAGCACCTTTAAACAAACTATTAGATAGAGATGATGCAATCCCTTTTCAGTGTTACACAGTGTGATTAATGAAACACCACTCATTATTTTTATCCAGCTTTACAGCATCACTATCCCATTTGTAAACAGAAAGAGATTAGAATGACTCAAGGGACACGGAGCAATTGGCTTTGTGGAAAATGTGGATGTAATTTTGACAAACAAGACCCCTGACAATGCCACTGGGATGAGATAAAGGCAATGTATTGTCTTGACTGCAGGATAATTTTTTATGGTAATTATACAGAGGCAACACAGCTTAATTGACAAATAACAACATGCTGATTGACTCAAAAATGCAACTTGCTACATCTTTAAGTTTTCAGTTATTTTATTTACTCCCCAAAATAAAAAATAAAGTTTAAATAATACATTCAGCTGCTGTTATATGTTAATTAAATGATGAAAAGGTGTCACAGCGACACTGTTTCCGTGTCGTTTTGAGTTTGTTTAAATGACACCCTACATGCAAATGTTCTACCAAGAGTTGTTTGCAAGAGCACCATCACTGAATCCTGGGCTCAGCACTGCCCAAGATGACTGTAATTGGTTTAAAGAAAGAGCAACAAGCCAGATGATGAGCCGGAATGATTATTGTTGATTCCAGACCTTTCTCTAGCACTGACACTTACAGCACTGTGGAGATAGCTCTGGCTAGGCAAGACTACCCATGCCTTAAATATTGGTACCATGGTTTTTGGGGGCGGCAGTAGCTCATTCCATAGGGACTTGGCTTGGGAACCAGAGGGTCGCTGACTGGAAGAAGAAAGGAAATCACCTTCCTACCAGTTACCAAACTGGGTGCCAACTAAGGGCCTGTCCCATTTCTACCCCTTAAATCCTCCACTTGGTATTGATTGCCCTCGTTTGCGAGATAACCCTTGATGAGGAAAGTGAGAAATATTAGGGTAGAGATCTTTCCCAAGAAATGAGACACCACTTCATGCAAATCGGTGTGGCCGACGTGCAGGCATACGTCACGTGTAGTAGCGACGCAAGATACCAGTAGTCATTCAGGTTAGAAAATGCCGGCTCCAGTGTTTGTGTTGTGGCGTGTGCTATGTTTATTCTTCTCTGTCTGATGAATCAACGGAGAAGAAATGCTGAAAACAGGAGGTGCCTACGACGTCTTCTAGTTCTGATCGATTTTGTTCGGGCGAGTTGATTTGTTTAAATATTTTGACGCTGTGTTCAACCGAGTTGCTGATGAGTTTACGCTAGTCCAACCATCTGTTGTTTGTATGGCCTACATTCCGATCATACAGTAACAAATTGTTTTCCAAAACTTGTTGAAGTTGCTGACTTCACAAGGTCTTCTGGGATATTTCATCTTCCACTTCACTGAAAGTGTGGGTCGGGGCTCCCTTGGAATCTAGGGTGGATTTTAAGTGTTGGAAACCACTTCCACTACCTCAATTCTGTTTTGGGACACCAACTAACCTAATCGTGAACGTGCACAACCAAGTGCAAGTGGGTATTTCTAGGGGAAGTGTGGGTACTGGGACAGGCCCATAGTACTGTTCTATTGTTGATGGTGATTTGATTTTCTTAGTTTCCTCATATTTCTTAAACAATTGTCTAATTTGTAGATACCAAAAGAAATCAGTGTTTGGAAGGCCAAACATCTTTAATCTGGACAAATTACTTCATGTTTTTGAAGCTATTAGGTGATGTGTATAGATAAAACCTTATCTTGCCTAATTTTTGAAGCCTGGATTTAGTTATATTGGTGCAAAATCGAGAATGGATTTGATTAAAGGTTGATGTGAAGATAAGGAATTTATGTTTTTTTCTTTATTTTTTCCAGATACAAGCAGTGTTTATTGTCCATATATTTGCCTTGTCTGATCTCAGAGGTGTATTTTAAAATGGCAGTAATTTAAATGCATGTTCACATTTTGATTTTTCTGTCCAGTTGTAATGTCATTTGTAATCCAAGCCACCACAGGTTTTGATTGTGCTGCTCAAAAATATAATTTTAGGCTTGTCCCCCATCTGAATTTGAGAGTTGTAGAGTTCTGAGCCATTTTCTGGGCCTTCTACCTTGCCAAATGAAGCAAGATATGAAGCAATCCAACATACAGAATATTGATTTCAGTGTTGGAATATGAAGCATTTGGAATAAGAAGAGCAGTCTTGTGAGGACATTCAAACAAATGGAACAGGAACAGCAGCAGAAACAACTACCTGGTTTAATTATCCTTAATATTATTACTAATTTTGTCATCATTTCTGTGAGCCACAGTAGCTCTACTGTCTATGAGGAAGGACTAGAGACCTCTTCTGGGTGGCATTCAATAAATAGTCTGATCCAAAACCAACCACTGACAGCCCCCCCCCCCCCAACTCTCAAATCCATGCCAGTGGAATAGGTGTGTGAAATTCAGCTTCAGCTATGTCTGGGCTTACGTACATTCACGGATCAAGTTATATCATCACATACACATCACACACTCGGATATTCACAAGGAGGCACAGAGATTGGTATGTAGTGACAGATATGAGTAGCAATGGCAAACACACACACACTCTTGCAGGATGGAGAGTGTTGAAAGGACTGAGGATGGAAGGAACGTGGGAACACAGCCTCTTTCACACCTCAGTAAATATCTCCGGAGACACACATACACACACTCTGTGAACACAAATCTCATTCATATCCTGATCACCACTCACAACTTTATATATATATATGTATACAGATTTACAAATTACAAGTCTGTATATCTGTGTGTATTTTTGCATGTTTACTCACCTTTGTCTTTGATACAGAAGGCGTCCAGGTGTGTAGCGTCTTCTGTGGCATTTTCTGTTCTTACATCCACTGCTTTCAGTGCACTGCCCACGACATTACACACCGTGGTCCTATAGATAGATAGATAGATAGATAGATAGATAGATAGATAGATAGATTAATATTGACATTCACGAACGCACTTATTAATTACAGTCTGATAGGGGAGCAAAGCGAAGCATTTAAGCACCCCTAAGGGACACCAGGATTGAGGGTGATCTTAATTAAACCTTGTGTGTTTACTTTATACACACGCTCACTCCCACACTACACATAATCATATTCCCTCATGTACACACCTTGCACCTGAGGCATTACAATATGGGGGAAGTAACTACACACATTTCCCATAGTATTGTACTTAAGTTTGAGATACTAATTTCATATAATGCTGCTTTATACATCTACTCTACCACATTTCAGGGGAGAATGTGATACTTTTTACCCTACATTTATCTGTCAGCTTCATTTACGGCTTACTGCTAACTTGTGGGTTATGATGTAACATAAAAACACACACAGTATGTTAAAATGCATTGTTAAACACTAATTATCTCATTTAGGTAGGAAAAGAAATGACTGGTTGTTTTGTATAATCAAAAGTAGATCAAAAAAGTGTGTCAGGTGCTCTCAGAAAGTGGAAAGAAGGCAATCAAGGCCAACCAACACATTCTCACTCCCAACTTGACAAATACCAACACCTGGTAAGTGACCCCACACGTCAAACTATGATGCTCTCGTACCCTTTCGGTCTTGGACGCTTAAGGATGGTATGTCAATGTATGCATTTTGACTTTTCAAAATAAACTTCCATTTTCACAGGAAATGTACAGTTTCCACTCATTAAATGTACACAGTCTCTTAAATAAAAGAACATAAACTCCGATTTTAGGTTTACTTCCTTAGGTTTAGGCAACAAAAGTATGTGGATTAATAAAAACATCATGGTTTGACTTAAAATAAGTACGCTTGTTACTTACGTAATGTAACGTCACTTGACATACGACACATACGCATTGTAACATGTGACATACATCACTGGTGTAGCATACTTCACATACTAGCATACAACATTAAAACAACTTGACAGGAAATTGAACAGCAGTCTCTGGGCAGTTTGTTTGACTCATCCACCCTCCTCCCTACTGCTCTACGTGGACTTTCCCACTTTATACACTTCGGCAGTTGTAGGAGGGTCAAAAATTGCTGCCACCCACTGCACCTCATGCCCCTGCTACAGGATTCCTTTGTGCGTCGGTATCTGACACCGAGGGACACTGACCAAGCATTGGTATTTGACGGGGAAGTGAGATTGTGTTGCCATATGATATCATAAATCAAGAAATATATCAACGAGGAAGGAAATATTGAAAAGCTTTTACTGTAGCCTTTACTGGACTGGCTAAACGTGTTTCAACCACTCTAGGTCTTCATAAGGGTTCATTTAAATATTTGACAAATCAATGACAAAAGAAGTTTGACGAACGAGCAAACACAAGAGAGAAAAGTTTTAAAAAAATGAAGACAAACTGCGCATCATAGCTTTGTTTTTTCTTCTCTCCTCTCTCATCAATCCTCTCACAACCCCTCAAAATTTATCTTGTGACCTTTTGGAGGGGCCTAATCCATAGGTTGGTAAACCACTGGACTAAAATACGTAGCAGTGTATAGAGTAGTTAAAAGTAGCTCCTGCTCAAGCAGCTATAACAGTAAACTGCTACTTACACACTCATGCATCAATATTAATGATCCTATACCGACATATATAATAATAAATCAGTCACAGGGACATTTTTCTTCAGAATAAGTACTTTTAGTTGTGTTAATTTAAGTACATTTTGCTGATACTTACGTACTTTTACTTATGCAGGGTTTAAGAAAAGTAAGTAAATAGTAAGTAAGTAAGTTGAGAATCTGAGTACTTGTTCAACCACTGATTACACTACTGATAAAAGTAAGTAAGTAAGTAAAGTGAGATTTCTGCTGAATATATTACACACAAAACTGCAGCTCTGCTTTATATCTGTATGCAGTTATTATGACGACAAACACGGACAGATATATACAGTAGGCTACGTGCTGCTCTCTTGGTCACCGCCTCATTTGCTGCTTATTCAAATATTATCACAGCCTGACATCAGAGTCCAGGAACACACATCATGGCTCAGACATGCTGCAGTATCAGCAGTTGTGGCCTGTGGCACAATATTATCACGCTGTGGCACATTACGAATAGATGTTCCCATGCCGAAGCTCTAAGTTACACCCAGCTTCATATAGAGCAAACATAACAGTAGGGACTTAACATAATACAAATTCCCCAGGGACCAGGTGAATAATGCGGTCAGTGCACAATGCCTCCAAGCTGCAGAGGCAAAAAAAGTGCTGAGTAAATAGTCTATTTTTGTTATTTGTGTTTCCATGTTAAGGTTTACGGCATCATTAGCCCATTTGTCATCCAAGAGCACCAGATAAGACTGACTCAAACTTCCCAGGCCAATCAAATCACGTTCCCATAGCAGCTCCCGACACCAGTCAACCTCATGTGGAAAGAACTTTCAAAAGCAGACTTCAGAAACGTCATTAACAGACACATTACACTTTTTATTGAATATTGCACGGTAATATCGAGCATCATTAAATGGAAAAGACGTGTGGGTTTGTGTGTGTGTACTTGTGTAAGTGAGTTAATCAAAGCAGCAGTAATTGGAAAGAATTTGACTGGCAGCGCGGTGAGACTGTGAGAAGTGGTGTGAGTCATACTGCATGCTTGTACCATGCTAACTTCAGCTTATAAGGACAAAAATCTGAGCGGGAGAGACGGGCAGCGAGAGAGAAATTGCCAAGAAAACACTCAGAGAGAGACAAAACACACAAAGACTGTTTTCACATTAACTGCAGGCATGTGTGTGTGTGTGTGTGTGTGTGTGTGTGTGTGTGTGTGTATGAGATATATATATTGACCTCTGTTAGGGACAGGAAGAACTTCACCTGACTGAAGACCCATTTCTCAAAACCCTCACCTTGCATGACATAACTATTACAGGGAAAACCCTGAAGAAGTGTGTGTGTTATTGTGTTTGGTTACTGGGGCAACAGATCTATGACTGACAGGTGAGAGGAAGACGTTAAGGTAGGAGAGTCAATCTAAGAAGCACTCGTTATTACGCAACAGACCTAAAAATTATGTCAAGGACTACAGGTTAACTGGCACTAACACGAGAGCAATATCTTCTGGGAAAAAGTGCATGACAGCCTCCCAAAAAAGCCCTGAAATTCTCTGATGTATTCTGCTCACTTGTGAGTGTCGGGTGAGGCACAGGATTAAGACACAGGGAGAGGACGAAGAGGGCACGGGTTATAGGGATGAACTCATCTTAGACACACAGAGCCATAGATGGGTGATACACTGCGAAACATGGTAAGCGGGTGTGAAAGCTGATGTCCAATGGCCAACATGTAGAGAGCAAAAAAACGTGTCAGCTTTTCCTTTGACCAGACGTTCGTCACTTTTAGGGCAGCCGCCATTTGAAGCAGGTTCAGTTTTGTAACACTGATAATTCTGGACCCTGTACCTATCTTTCCTTGTTCTGTTTTCACTTAACTGCCCAAAAAAACACTGATAATTTCTAGTTTTCCAAGTCATTATTATTATAAACCATCATATACCAAAAAATTATCAGCTTACTATCAGCACTTGTGAAAGTAATGTAAGGTAGTATTGTCACGATACAGGAATTTCTAACTTTAAAATACTAACATTCAATGCCATTTTCAATACCAAATTGACATTGAAGGCATAGAAGTTAAATTTAAATTAAAAGATAAATATTATAAGGCTCTAACATGACAACAATTGCTTTTTTTTCTCCACCGGTAGCAGAGAACTGCAGAATGACTGTGGTTAACATTAACAATAAGACAGAGCAAGAAAGCGCATCAGTGTATTGATACTGTGGAAAATGAGCATTGAACCAGTTTCAAAAATTCAGAATCAATATGTATAGATAAATGATTATTTTTGACAACACTATTGTAAGGGCCATTTAGTCTATTTAGTAACTTTGCAAAGGGGTTGGAATTCAGTCAACATCTATCTGGAGCAATGCCTGCCACTTTCCTCACTCTAACCTACGTGACTTTACTTTCCTAAACCTAACCTACCTAACTTTACTTTCCTTAACCTAACCTACGTGACTTTACTTTCCTCACCCTAACCTACGTAACTCCACTTTCCTTAACCTAACCCATGTGACTTTACTTTCCTAAACCTAACCTACATAACTCTACTTTCCTAACCCTAACCTACGTAACTTTACTTTCCTAAATCTAACCTAGGGTGACCATATTTTGATTTCCAAAAAAGAGGACACTCAGCCCGGCCACGACATAGCCTACTTAGGCTAAATGATACTCGCAGTTTACTCAAAGATGCCTTATAATTTTAATACATTTAAAATTTATATGTATGGATAGAAAATTCAGTTATATTACAAAATAATATCTCTCAAAGACAGAAATTCAGATAGGCCCCAACAGGGGACACATACACACACTAGAGTGTGGCGATCCGAGCCCGACAGTACCTGACAGGTCGGGCCGGGTTTGGTCAAAAATGTAGCTATAAATTGTATTCGGGCTTGGGTCGGATTCGGTCAGCTTTCAGTGAAAATGTAGTGTAAAAATAAATAAAATCCTATTGTCTGTCCTGTTTGTTGCTTGGGCACTGTTATTTACGTGACAACACCTGAATATAACACACACAGACACACATTGGCTGTTTGTTTCTACCTCTCCCCTCGCTGGAAGTCTTGGACCTCCAGCCGCCCGCCTCCGCCTTGATTAAACGCTGAAAATAAAATAAAAGAGGGAGACAGGTTTTTCCTATTTTATCTTATTTTGTTTTATTTCTCCCTCTCCTCTCGCTAGAAGCGTCGGATCTCCCGCCTCCCGCTCCCATCTCCAACACGGAGGTCTCCCTCTCCGCTGAGCACGCCCGGCCTGTTAAATAGCCTGTAACCGTAACAACTGTGTGACACAAACTCAGTGCTTTGGTCATTAAATAATGTCGGGCTCGGTTCGGGTTCAGACCTATGGTTCGGACAGAAATATGTGGCCCGTGCCACACTCTAACACACACACACAAACACACAGAAAACCGGACATTATCATCAGTTTATAAAAAAAAAATGGATGCCCCTGACGGGACGTGAAAAGTGGACATGTCCGGGCAAAAGAGGACGTTTGGTCAGCCTAATCTAACCTACATAACTCCACTTTCCTCACCCTAACCTAAGTAACTCCTCTTTCCTTAACCTAACCCATGTAACTTTATTTTCCTAAACCTATCCTACGTGACTTTACTTTCCTAACCCTAACCTACATAAGTTCACTTTCCTAAACCTATCCTACTTAACTCCACTTTCCTAAACCTGATTCTCTTAACTTTATTTTCCTAAACCTAACCCACTAACTTCACTTTGCTAACCTAATCTACGAAACTTTACTTTCTTAAACCTTATTTATGTAACTCCGCTTTCCTAACCCTAACCTACATAACTCTACTTTCCTAAACCTACCCTACGTAACTTTACTTTCCTAAACCTAACCTATGTAATTTTACTTTCCTAAACCTAACCTATGTAATGTCACTTTCCTAAACCTAACCTATGTAATTTTACTTTCCTAAACCTAACCTATGTAACCCCACTTTCCGAAACCTAACCTATGTAGCTTTATTTTCCTGAACGTTACCCACGAAACATTACTTTCCTAAACCTAACTTACGTAACTTTACTTTCCTAAACCTAACCTAGATAACTCCACTTTCCTAACCCTAACCTACATAGCTTTACTTTGCTGATGTTACCCACAAAACATTGCTTTCCTAATTCCTAACTCCTCTTTCCTTAACCTAACCCATGTAACTTTACTTTCCTAAACCTAACCTACGTAACTTTACGTTAAGTACATAACCCAAAGACGCTAAACTATTATTGCTTTCCTAAATGTAACCTACATAAGTTTAATTTCCTAAACCTAACCTGTGTAACTTTACATTAAGTACATAATGTTATGTAACGTTTATAACACGACTATATTCTACCATGATTTTTTTCCTGAACCTAATCTAACCAGTAAGGGTGCAAATATGTTGGTCACTAATTTGTTAGATATCATACAAACCATAGTATGAGGCGTTGGAGCACACCTGACAGGATTTGGCAGGATATAGTATAGGCAGTCTGTCCGTCTGTAGGTTTGATCCAGATTGAATTATGTCAACGAGATGTCCATCCTCAGGGTGAATCATAATCATCCAGTAAATATTTCATTTTGAGTTGGAAGTAAATATGTGTCTGTTTGAAAGGGTTTGAGGTGTGAAGGGGGTAGAATTGGGGGAACATTTTCATGTAGGATTACTGTTGCTACAAAATAAAAATAAAAAAGCTGCTCATCTTTGAAGATTTTGTGGCAGTATGTTAACTTAACACAAGCACCACACCACCAAACATGTAATGTCAAACAACATGTATCTTACAACCAAGAAATCACCTTATATTGACACCACACAGACTGTGTACCTCTCATGTATTCTCTGTCATTACCACCAAAGAACAGCCAACAAGCTGTCAGTCGCCTCACTCTAAAGTAACACTGTATCTTCTTCCTCCAGACCCAAATCAGGCCTGTCTGTCTGTCTGTGCGTCTGTTCCTGTCTCTGGGTGCTGAAAGCTGTGTGTCATGTTACCGTGGAGATGAGAGGTGTAAATGGAGGCAGTTGTCGACATGACACCCCGGCTCAGAATTCCCTCCTCCTCCAGGAAGGAACAGAGGAGTCTTTCTCCCTCTCTTCCTCTCTCTTTTTCTCTTTCCCCCCTGAAATGTGTCACTCTCTTCTCCCATCCGTCCACTCTCTCTGTAACTGCCGCTGCTGCCTTCACTTCCTGTCTCTTTCGCCCACCCCTGTGACCGCTGTCACACACAGGAGCGCACACACCAAAATGACCTTTGACATCTCTAGAAATCTCAAGTCTCCCTTCATGTCCTTCAAAACAATGACTGCCCTCATGCACAAACACTTCTTTTCTTACCCGACTATGCCTCCGTAGAGCCACCCACGGGTGCATGGGGAGAAGAAGCACTCCACCACGGCATGACGGAGCTCCTCTGCTGATGCCAAGCGGGCATGTCGTGAGGCACAAGCCCCCTCAGCATCTCTGAAGCCCTGCAGGCCAGAGCTCCTCAGATCCAGCACGAACACTCGACCTGAGAAGGAGGAGAGCAGGGAGTCAGAAGAAAACCTCTGAAACTTTTTAAAACCTGTAATATCACACAAAATCATAAAGTCATAAAGTCACACGTATCCATGATTGCTGCTGTGTACATTTAAACTGTGAGCTGCTGGGCCCTGGTAACGTCTGTGACGACTCACTTAACTCATTGATTTCTGTTTATGATGTTCTTTTATTTTTTGGTTTTTCTTTTATTGAGTGGTGTTGTGTTGTTAAGTACTTTGAAACTCTGATTTAGAAAAGCACTATAGAAAGAAGTTTTTTTTGTTTGTTTTTTAAATTATGATTATCATTATAATTACTATTATTTTCTGTCTAACATGAAGACAGAAGACATTTATTCACAAAGGACAACCCAGGTTACTTGAACCTGACTGAGAGATGATAAAAACTTACTGGAGCTATTCATTAACAATAGATTATATTTATTATTATACATTATATTTGTGCTTAAATGTCCTCAGTTTTACAACACTAACCATTTTTAATGTGGGTTTTTGGACTTCATTGGAAAGGTTGCTGAAATACCTGTAGTGATGTAAGACTTTTTTAAGAATATGGAAACTTTGGAGTGGCAATGCGCAAAAAAGGATTTTTCAAGGGGGAAACAGGGGATATGTCCCACTCAATATTGAAAACAAAATTAAAGACATTTATACCATAAATTGATACAGAAAAGTCACAAATTGGTGCATAAAAATCCACCTGAATGCAGGAAATTAAGTGTTTGACGCTTGAAAATTTGTGATGGAGGACCCCCAAGCCCTTCGATTCATATGTCTCACCCCTAAAGTTGAAACTTAGTCCATCGTTTTTGATACTGATACCAAAATCTACATCCTGATGTGTCATAATACTGGTGTAAAGCCTTCTTAATCACACCATGTCTATGCTAATTAAGGTAACTGCTCATTACCACATAAAATAGCAGTTGCCATTGAATTTCACAGTCTGACGACAGCTGCTAAAAGGCTGATAGAAAAACAAATTTCAGTATTAGGGAACACACAGAGTCTAGAGTGGAGCTCAGCAGGTGTGATCAATTTACAGGAGCGCTGCTGTCCCATTCATTATCACCTCATTGTCACATCATTAGCGGGCGCTCAGAATCACATGTTTTACATGTTAAATATTCTCAGTGTTTCATCCATTAGCACAGATTTTTTTAGACATATGAGCCTTTTAATTGTGATAAAATGTTGATTTTAGAGGGGAAACAGTCCCTGAGCTGAGGGGGGAAATGCTTTCTGGCGGCGAGGCAGGTGCACACTGATAGCACGCGCTTCCACTCTTTGTGGTTAGTGCGTCACCAAAACCTAACTTTCCTGATGAAAACTAATTTAATAATTCAATAGACGCGTATAATAATGTTTAGGAATACATTAATGAAGTCTTTAGTTTCTCTCGTGTATATATAAGTTATCTTTTATAATTGTATTCTGTTAGAATAAAGGGTTAACTTACCATCTGCATTTACAACAGAGGTTAGCACAAGACAAGCCAGACATCCAAAGAGCAATGATAAAACACTCCGATCCAGCATCTTTTGGCGAAATCTCAGTTTTTTTATGTTCTCCCCCAAAAAATAATAAACTTCCAAACGCCTTGTGTATTCACAGTGCTGCAGGTCACAGTCCCGGCGGTCACAGAGGTGCACTGAGCAGCAGGAAGGTGAGCTTGTTGACAAGTGCTGGTGATAATATAAAGAAGACGGTCAGAGCGGCTCAGGAGCGAGGCGCAGTTTATCTCCCACAAATAGTCGCCCTCGCAAGCAGATGGAGCACCGGTGTGAAAACTCGCGGGTCCCCGTTAGTCAATACGTCACGGCTCAAAATCTTCAGGGTGGGCAAAGGCGGTCAGATAGACTGTCGGACTGTTCCTTTACAGGGAGGAGAGAGAGAAGAGAGAAAACACACACACACACACACACACACACACACACACACACACACACTTTTAAACACTAGATACCAATAATTCTGTATATATA